CTTCCGATCAGCATTGGCAGTGAAGAGTTTCTGGAGCAACGGGAGAAGGTACGCGAAGGTCTTTCCCGAACCTGTTTTCGCTCGAGCAACCACGTCCTTGCCTTCCTGAAACAGCGAGTGAACTGGTTAAGGTAAGTGAAGTTGAGCGGTGAATGGCGATGGTTGAAGATGGAGAAAGTGTGACCAAAATGAGTGGAATCGCGACGCGCTGAATTGGAGTGGGTTTCTCGATCCCTTTCTTGAGTAAGGCGCGAAGGAGACGAGCGTCCAGACCGAGCTCTTCGAAGCTTTGGTCCTCAGCTTCTTCTTCTTCTTCTTTGCGAACGGTTTCTTTCGACGCGGATTCGCGCGTTTCCGCCATCACGAACGGTGGCGAAAATTTGAATGCGGCGTCGTTTAGGGCGGTTCGAGTTTGGCGTACCTGCAGTGTGTGAATATTACTTGGTGGAGCATGCCACGCGAAATTGGCTTTTGTTTAGGTCTTTAGAAGAAGAGAGGAGCGATTGAAAGTAACGGGCACTGGACATGGGTCGTGCCATGTGTGGTCTGGCCCAATATATTGGGCCGCGCTGCGCCACTGATATTGGAGTTAGCCCGAATTTGTGGCGAGTACTATTCACACCCTGCAATTTTATTATTTGATTTCCTTTCTAAAAAAAATTAATTTTCTGGGCTACCCGCGAGTTAATCCTCCTTCTTTCACTTTTTTTTAACTCACGATAAATACACTTCTTATATTAATAACACATTTCTATTATATTTTTAAAAAAATATTTTTAATACGTTTTATTTTTTTATTTGTGACTTTCTCTTATTTTCAACATTCAATTTTTTTTCTTTCAAATACTTACTCTTTTTATATACACTTCTTTCTTCATTTCCAATGCTCAATTTTTAAAATTGATTTTGATGGTGAATAATTAACTTATGATATATATATTTCATTTTTTTTATAAATATGCCATCTTACTCTTTCTTTCATTATTCTTTTTCTTTATGAAATATTTGGTACGTGAATATTTTTATTTTTAGAAATTTTAAGTAAAAAAATTTAATTTTTTTTATATTTGATAATTATTTTAAAAAATTAAGAATATAATTTTTTAAATTTTTTTTTATCTCACTTTAACACAAAAATATTCCTGTAATATCCTTTTTAAAAAATAAAAAAATCTCTATCTTTTCTCTCTCCTTTTATTCTTTTTTTTTTTCTCCATCTGTCTCTCACACTCCCACTCTCTCACTCTCTTTCTTTCTCTCTCCCCTTCTATTTCCCTTTTTCCCTATCTCTAACCCCTCTCACTCCAACTCTCTTCCTCTCTCTTCTTTTATTTCTCATTTTCACAGCATCTGCAGTGGAGTTTGCTTATAAGCAACCCCCTGTGTCACATTAGCTTTTTTTTTTTTTTATTTTTAAGCACTGGAACTTTTACAAGCAACTTTGTTAAAATTTAAGCAATCTATTTTGCTAAAATTTAAGCAATCTATAAACAATAAAAAAAGCTGATGTGGCACAGGAGGTTGCTTATAAGTAACCTCCACTGCAGATGCTCTTATCTCTCTCGCTCTGTCTCCCCCACTCTTTATTTTCCTTCCATATCTTTTAATGAAGTGTTGTTTTAAAAGATTATTTAAATATAAAATTCTTATAAACTTGAAAAGACTTTGTAAAAATATAATAATTTATATTTTTTTAAAAAAAATTGTAAGAATATATTACCTTTCAAGATTATTAAAATTTTTAGAATCAAAAGTTTGTGATATATATTTTAATAGGTCTATATTATATAAATTTATAAGATTTAAAATGACAAAAAATATGAATTTTTAAAAATACAATTAATAATAAAAATAATATAAATATTAGATTTGAATAAAAAAATTAATAAAAATCTCTTTTTAATACTATTCCACTTAAAATTCCAAACAGGTTTTATTTTTTAAGAGAGGACTTAAGTAAATTGATAATTTGATAAATTAAGATAAATATAAAACAAAAAACAAGCATATCTAAAATGATGTAAGTGGTACATATTTTTAGACATATATATGATAATATAGAATAAGTTAAAGGATGTACATTTGTTGGGTTATTTTATTTATTTACATATAGATAGATAGTAGATATATTATATTGAAAAAAGAAATAAAAAAAAAGGAATAAGATGTGGATTATTATGATTAGAAGATGATGAAGATAGGGGTCAGCGGTTGGTATGTTACCGTGTGTTTTGGGTGAAATGGTATGAAGAAGAGAAAAGAAAAGTAATATCGTAAATTCATCCATCCTTGTACACGCACGATCCAACCCACCTCACATAGATTCCTTTCCAAACTCAATTCCATTCGTCGATAACCAAACAATGTCTCACACGCCACAAACCCTAGATTCCGACGAGGTAGCTCCTCCCACCGCCACCGCCACCGCCACCCAAACCCCCGATGCCCCCCCCTCCACCCTCCTCCACCTCTCCTTCAACCAGGACTCCGGCTGCTTCGCCGCCGCCACCGACCACGGCTTCCGCATCTACAACTGCGACCCCTTCCGCGAGATCTTCCGCCGCGACTTCGGCCCCGGCGGCGGCGTGGGCCTGGTCCACATGCTCTTCCGCTGCAACATCCTCGCCGCCACCGACCACGGCTTCCGCATCTACAACTGCGACCCCTTCCGCGAGATCTTCCGCCGCGACTTCGGCCCCGGCGGCGGCGTGGGCCTGGTCCACATGCTCTTCCGCTGCAACATCCTGGCCTTCGTGGGCGGCGGCTCCGACCCCCGGTACCCGCCGAACAAGGTGATGATCTGGGACGACCACCAGTCCCGGTGCATCGGCGAGCTCTCCTTCCGGTCGGAGGTGAAGGGCGTCCGTCTCCGGCGCGACCGCATCGTGGTGGTCCTGGCCCACAAGATCTTCGTGTACAATTTCGCCGATCTCAAGGTGCTTCACCAAATTGAGACTATTGCTAACCCTAAGGGCCTCTGCGACCTCTCTCACGTTTCCGCCACCATGGTGTTGGTGTGCCCTGGCCTGCAGAAGGGCCAGGTTAGGGTTGAGCACTACGCCTCCAAGAGGACCAAGTTCATCATGGCTCATGATTCCCGAATTGCCTCCTTCGCCCTCACTCACGATGGACGCTTGCTCGCCACCGCCAGCTCCAAGGGCACCCTCGTTAGGCTCTTCAACACCCTCGATGGTTCCTTGCTCCAAGAGGTCTATTCCATCTCATTCTTTCTTGCTTTTCACTTGCCACAAAACTTAAAATGCTTTTTCCATTGTTCTCTTTTCAAAATTAGAGTTTCACTTCAGTTATATACTCTATGCATTCAAGAACAACATAGGTAAATGAGAAGAAACTTCAATTAAGAATGAACAACAATGCCAAAATCACCCAAGGAATTGCAACTTGGTTGCATGACTGCTTATAGTATTGGTTTGCAATCAGAATTAGAGTTCCACCTTGATAACATATATAATTAAGGTCTGCATTAAAAATCAACATTGTTTATTGAGATGAAATTCCAATTTTGACTGAAAAGCAACACCGAAAACATTTGAGGAGCTCAACATAAGTTATCAAGATGAAATGCTAATTATAATTGAAGAACAACTTCAAAAGCATTTAAGAAATTGCATCTAAGTTTTTTCCTTTGTTTAATTCTCCTATAAATCATTCTAATAATGTGTTTAGGTATCCAGTGTAATGTGTTTCTTGGATAACAATAGTGTCAGTGTAATATATTTCAAATAATTAAAGGTGTTACTGTGGGAGTTATAGTGTGAAATTTCAAGAAACCATAAGGGGTCTCTGTAATTTGCACGAAATTAATTTCATGGGAGTAGGGTTGTTGGAACTGAATGCATGCTTAGTAGCTTTTTTGAGAAATAGATTGCTATTAATGTTTTGAGGCTTCTTGTGAGTTAAATGTGTTTTGGAGGTTTGAATGGGAATTTGCGGGGTGATGATTTTCAGGTACGGAGGGGTGCAGACAGAGCAGAGATATACAGCCTTGCTTTCTCTCCCACTGCACAGTGGCTGGCTGTCTCAAGTGACAAGGGGACCGTTCATGTTTTCAACCTAAAGGTTGATTCTGGACTGTTGGGGCATGACAGATCGCATGGTACTTCTGAGCCTAATGCGGCTAGCCCCACTGCAGTTTCGTCTCTTTCATTTATTAAAGGTTTGTGCGCTGTGAATGTTATTTTGTGGAAATGTGGTGCCTTGTTTTAGTGATTGTGAAAGAACTAGAACAGAAAATTGTTACTCGTGATCATCTAATTTGTCTGTTTTATAGGTGTGCTACCTAAGTATTTTAGCTCAGAGTGGTCTGTAGCTCAATTTCGCTTGCAAGAAGGTTTGCAGTATATTGTTGCATTTGGCCATCAAAAGAATACAATTGTAATACTTGGCATGGATGGCAGGTATTTCAGTAATGGATCATATTTTAGTTTGTCAGGCTCTGATTTTTCTTACTTTCGCTTTTTGGAAAGTGGGGGGTGGGGTTGCTTAAGAGATATTAGACATCCAGTATGGTGCAATAATGATTTGGGGACTAAACTATAAAGCCTACTTCCTTCTATTGCATTAAACTTCTATTTATTTCTATACCTGTTCAGATCAGATTGATTTCTACAGTCCTAAAGTGGATGATGCCCCCCCCCCCCCCCCCCCCCCCCCCCCCCC